CATGTGATGCACCACATCCTGTAAATGATGGCCTTACATTTTGTAAAACATAAAGCTTGCCGATGAATAGAATGATGGAGAGTTTATAGCCAGTTCTTTCTATCCGTTCTACGCCCTTGATTTGAGAATTTTGTTGTAAATTGATAATCTTAATAGAGAGTAGCCGCCGAATCTGAAAAGAAAAACTAAACAAGAACTCCTTTTTAAACCGTTTTAAGCAAATTCGCAAAATAAAGTTAAAAGCACCCTAATTAAAATAAAAGCTTCGCTTTAAGCTTTAATGCTTTTAAATGTTGTTTACATTTTGTTATAATATGCTTAATTGTTCTTGTTAAAAATATTTTTTATTTCAATTTTTGGGCCTCAGCCTTGTACTATAATACCACCACTATGTGGAAACTGCCCACTGAAGTATTTCCGTACCAATTCGACATAGGGTCCTTCAAGAAAATATCTCTGGCATTGAGAGTGTCCATGGGCGGTATCACTTAACATCAGATGAGCCTCCTGTCCGTTTGCCTATTGTTACATAAAAAAGGAGAGTTTTCAAAGCATTACTTATACTTCATCACAGTATAGTATTGATCAGATACAGTATATAAACACATAATTAACAGGCTTATAAAAAGTTAATTACTGGTCAAGAAAGTTCATACGAAATGTTCTCGTCTGTAATGTCTTTAATTCAATACAATAAAGTCCATTTTCCCACGATTTTAACTACATGATATGATCAGCAAATTGTTTCATACACTTAAATTTCATAATTAACTCTTATTGTTTTAAGATAAAGATGAGAATGGCGTAGCAAATTTCGTTAACAATTTGTAATTTTCGTGTGAACGGCTAGTAGGTAAATTGGTTACGTAAGCATTACATCACGTTGCAGTCCGCACTCTCGCGCAACATGACCTATGACATCTTTATAGTGTTGCCATTTTTTGCAATTATCAAAATCGTTAATGCGTATTTTGAGTTTTACTTTCGAAATTCGAATGTCAAAGTTGTTTGGAGATTATAGTCTATGTTATCTGACGCAATGTTCTGTGTCGCAGATATATATATCATGCGTTCCTCATTGATAACTATATATTTATAATATATTAGTGAGCAATGTTGGCCTAGTGGATTCAGTGCGACTCTCATCCCTGAGATCGTAGGTTCGATCCCTGGCTGTGCAACGATGGACTTTCTGTCTATGTGCGCATTTAACATTCGCTCGAACGGTGAAGGAAACATCGTGAGAAAAGCGGGTTGCCTTATACCCAAAAAGTCGACGGGGTGAGTCAGGTTCAAAAGGCTGATCACCTCATATTTGATTGACAAAATAAACAGATACAGAAATCTGAGGCCCAGACCTAAAAAGGTTGTAGCGTCACTGATTTATTTTTAACTTATTTAAATTATGCGTCACACTTTAAATTTTTTTTTTCTTCTCCACATGCTTATGAATTATTGAGCGAAGCGTGCGAAGCTCCCATGCGCCCACTCTTATGACACTCTGTACAAACACTAAGGCTTTTGAACGGCTTAACCGTTTTTGAAAATTCTTTTTTAAATTAAAGATGGAAAAATTTCCCGTGCTATAGCCTATAGGCTATAAAAACTCAATAATATTTACGAATAAATCACAAAATAAGCGGAAAACAACTTCGAAGGAGACCTAAAACTAAAAAGTCCTTTCAACAAAATCAAATCTTTAAATTAAATGTTTTGAATCTATGTATTTTTACTCATCATTAAAAATTGAGTTGAACACTCGCTCCGCTCAAATTTGTGCTAAAGCGAAGCAGAATTGCGAGCACTGCGGCGTCCTAGTTTTATTATCTGATTTAATAATTGTTTTATCCAATACATTCAATACTTTCTCGTGGTGCCTATCCAATTACTGAAGGTCAGAGGACAATATCCAAAATCTCCCATCGTTCATAACCAATCTAGACAATTGCTTCACAGACTTGACCCTGGTCCATTCTCGATGTTTCATAGCCAAGACTACGATTTTGTAGAAGGTAAGAAGGTATAGGTAATAAAGAGGTAGCATTAGCCCCAATTTTGACCCTATACCCCAATTTTGACCTTATACCCCAATTTCGACCATATACCCCAATTTCGACCATATTTTGATACTGCTGGTTACGGACCACATCGGTCAAGATCTACTCTCTGACTTTCCTCTGTTTAATGATGTGGCATTGTCGACACAATTTAAATCACGATCATTTAGAAATAAATTTAACATAAAATTTAAAGTATTTTAACAAATAATAAACACAGCTGATCATAAACAGACGCCATCTTGCCTGTCAATGAGTTTATGTACATTATGAAATTTGTTTAAATCCTCCACTGAATTTGATTTATCGGTGAAATAATATGTTAACACTGTTTGAAAGCTAAGTGTTAATCTATAAGGGGCATACCATTTTTAAAATGGATTTTATGCCACCGAAAAATTATAAACACATAAACTATGAGGTATAGTTATATATATAGCTAACGACATATGTATAGCTAACGACATTTTGGTTGAGTATAGAACTCCAGTCGAACCAAAAAGGCCGCTTTAGGAAGCCTTTTTAACCTACTAGAAAAATAAATCTTAGCTTCATCCTTATTATGCAAAAAATACTAATAAAAATACGATTTTAGTTAGTCTTTTTAACCCCCCAAAAATAAGTTTTACATATTGGAGGGCTCCGCATGCAGCCCGTCCCGGGCCGGCGGACATCTCAAGCTGTTCACACGCACGCCGTCGTGTAGTCTGGCCAGAATGGAGACGGCGGCGAGGATCTCGTTGTTTTTTCTCCCATATCCTTTGGCTTAACTTATTTTTATTGGAAAAAGAAACAAAATTATTATATTCCGCCATGTTGTAATCTCCGACGTCGAGACTTTCTTACGACGTTGAATGAAGACCACTCGTCCAACCGGAGAGACTGACTGCTGCGCGCGGTAAACAGTCACCGGGCGCCCCGCACATTCATCCTTTGAACTTTGCCAAAAAACCGACACTTGCCCGATTCGCGGCATACACGCTACAGTTTACGCTTGTGAATGTAAATGTGCACGTTGAAAGAGTTGAACGCGCGCGTGTGAACTAAGCATACACGACTGGCCAAGACGGACCGCATATTGCAGTCGGCTACGACTGCTTGGAGCAGTTGTGTTCGACCGCAAAATAAAACTGATGCGAGTTCATTTATAAGATGGATTTCGATGAAGAAACACTGTTTCTTGTACTACTATTACGCAACCGTAGGCGTAGAAGACACCTTAGCGTGTGGATGCGTCCAATACTACAACCAAGAGAACAGCATGGAATATTTCATACTTTGTATCTCCAAATGAGAGAAGACACTAAAAAGTTTTTCAACTACTTTAGAATGTCCGTGGTTTCATTTGATGAATTAGTTAGTATTTTATTTTATTTGAGGGAGTGGCGCGCGGTCGGCAGCAACCGCTTGTAGCGGTCCGTGTATGGTGGGTCCGGCAGCTCTAAGCAGTCGACCGCACGGCGAAACCCGACCGCAGAGCGACTGCTCCGACCGCTCAGAAACTGGTCGTGCGGTCCGTGTATGGCGAATATGTATTTAGTATGGAAACTGCAGTTCGCCGTGCGGCGACCGCACAGAGCAGTCGGTATCGACTGCAAAATGCGGTCCGTCTATGGCCAGCGTTAGGCATTCTTCGCGCACCTGAATCGCACCAATACATCGATTCTGACCCAACTCCGAATACAGACTCGCCTGTCAGATTTCAACTTGGAGAACTTGGAGAAACTGATCGTGGTAACACAGAAGGCAAAAGATCACGTGGCCGTTCACCAACCCGATGGACCGATCAAGTGAAAGACTCATCTTCCTCAAAACTATACACTGTTATAAGAGAGGTGCTGGACAGAAACCGGTGGAAACAGATTGTCCGCTCCAGACGTTTCCTTGCTGACGATTAGTACCTCCTGTAACCTCTGCCTGTTTCATCGCACTAAACTTCACAGAACTTAATGTGGCTTTTAACTAAAATACAGTATTAATATTTTTGGGAGCAGTAACATGAAGGTATAAAATAACAACCCGTGCTAAAGGCAGAGTACAGAAGAAAATTTCCAACTATTGTATAGATTGAGAAATTCAAGATGGCGATCTCTATAAACTACTGTTTACGACTTCACTTCACGTTTGACCTGCATTGATGAAGCGTGTTGATCCTTATTTTGATTTAAGATAGTCATCAGAAACATATCGTATTGCGGAGTGTAATATTTGTTTATTAAGCTATTGCATAGATTTTATCGCGGGCTTTGAGCGCGGCGACTGAATCAAGAAATTCCGTAACGAATATAAAACCTAACACACGATGACGTAATATAGGTGCAGCCAGTACGCGTTAGAGTGAGACAGACTATATAGTCGTGTAAGTCTGAGTCTGGTAGAATGGTAGATTGAATTAATATCAAAGAAAAAACTTGAATCAATATCAAAGAAAAAAAAAATACTGCATAAATAAAAAATAACTAAATAATTATAACTGCATAAGTTGATAAAAAAATGCAATGCTTTGCCGCGGCAGTCCCCGAGTGCCACACGTTTTTTTTATTAGACATCATTATTCTATCTTAACAGATTCTACTAATGTGATAGAACGACACAATACCCACACCGATTATTCTACATAAAAAAATATATATTTATATACCTAAATCTTATAACTAATAATATAGGAAGCAACTCTTGTGAACTCAGCCAGTGTACAAACAAATAGGTCTACCTTAACAGAAATTCTATTTATTATTTGTATTGCTCGCGTGAGTGGTGCTTCGCTAACCAAGTTGGGATGTGCGCGCGGAACATCCAAAAGTTTAGACTTCCGCCTCAGATTTTTACTTGGTACTTAAATACATAAATACACTGACAAAGCAATAGAGGCGTAAACACTGATAAAAAATGTGAAGAAGTCTGTAACTTAAATACCATGATTTCTTCTAAATTTTATCCATAATGAACATTGTGTTAGTTCTTTATAGGCATACATAGTAGCCTATCAGGGACGCGTTCAGGTAGGTCTGTGGCCGAGAAGCAATGCAGAAAGGGAGTGTTAAATCTCCCCTTTCCTAAAATACGTTTATTTCGACTTCTTTCGAAGAAAAGAGCGTACCAATTATTAAAAGGCCGACCACGCACTAGCGAGCCTTCTGTGTAAGTATAAGTGTCCATGGGCGGCGGTATCAGATCAGGTGAGCCTCCTGCCCGTTTGCCTCCTATGATATAAAAAAATCTTGATATCTTCATGATATTTATGGCGTTTCGGAGCCCGCTTCAGCGATTTGTCTTAGTGACATATTAAGTAAATAAATAATATTGTTAATAAACCATAGTTGTTGTATTGGCTCAATTTACATTCAAACAAAGTCGTGCATTGTTTTGTAAACATTATTGATAATAAAACTGCCATTTCTATCTAAAGTATGTATGTATTTAGAATTTTAGTCTGTGTAAAAAACAACAGTGTTGGCCTAGTGGCTTCAGCGTGCGACTCTCATACCTGAGGTCGTAGGTTCGATCCTCGGCTATGCACCAATGGACTCTCTTTCTGTGTGCGAATTTAACATTTGCTCGAACGGTGAAGGAAAACATCGTGAGGAAACCGACATGTCTTACACCCAAAAAGTCGACGGCGTGTGTCGGGCATTGGAGGCAGATCACCTACTTCCCTATTAAATTTAAAAATTATCATGAAACAGATTCAGAAATCTGAGGCCAAGACCTAAAGAGGTTCTAGCGCCACTGATTTATTCATTATTATTTAAAACTTCTTGGTGTATTTGTAAATAATTATGGATGAATATTTTCTCCATTATTAAGTTGTTTAAAGTCATAATTGTATTTTTGTTCTCAGAAACAATGCTATCGTGACAAGAGGCCAAATGGAAGAAAGTCCGCTATATGATCACAAAGAGTTTGAGGTACTTTTATTTACAAAATCTTTTCTCTTATTTATTACATATAATCCTTACATACACTAAAATAATACAGCACAAGTAAAAATCAAAAGTCAAAAATCATTTAATCGTATAGGTAACACAATGTACAGTTATGAACTTCAAAAAAAGAAATGTATATGAAATGCTTTAAACTTTACATTTAGTGCCAGTTCTCAAATTAAGGGCGTAGAACGGAAGAGAAGAACTGGCAATAAACTCTTCGCCACTCTTTGTAATCGTCAAGTTTTTTGTTTTACACAATGTTTGTAAGGAGCTGCAACCATTACACCTTGTTTTATATGACATCTTAAGTAATTAATAATAATGACATAAGTAGTTTTACATTTAGTCAAAAATCGGACCTAAAGTTGAAGTTTAAGGAAGAACTAAATTTACATTTACAAGTTCCCTAATCAACGGCGTAGAGCGCCCGGGAAGAATTGACCAGGAACTCACAGTCACTCATTTTAATCGCAAGTTTAATTTTACAAGAAAATTTTAAGGAACTGCAACCGAAGGACTATTCGTTGCTGTACCTAGAATCGAACCCAAGACCGTCCGCCCATGTGCGTTTAACTAAGCCACGGAAGCGGCAGCCACTCTATAACCGCTGCTTCATCAGTTCGTGAGACCATCCTTATTTATTTCGTAATCCTACAGCTAACAAAAATTATATTAACAAACATCTAAGTACACTAATAGCCAGAGATGGAATACAAAAATATAATAATATTTACCTACAAAAAGGTTCAAAAATTTACAAAAGGGAATAAAACAATAAAAATTATTCAATACATTTAACTAAGTAATACCTACCTAATTTGGCTGTGTTGTGTGATAGTGTAAAAGTGAGGGTATGTACGTACGTGGATGTGGGGAATGCTCATGATGCAGGTGATTTTGCGCTATGGATATTCTTAATACTTCTATTAACACTTAAATATATTTCACCAGCCAGGGGAAGAATGCGATGACTGGGAAGTCAGCCGATCGAGGGTCCATTTGGGTGCTTTAATCGGAAGTGGTGCATTCGGGAGGGTCCATGCAGCGTACCTGGATATGCCTGGAGGAGAAACCATCACCGTTGCCGCTAAAATGCTGACAGGTAGATTCTTAATATCTTATTAAATAAAAAAATATATGTCACGTTCGCGACCCCGTTAGGTCAGTACGTTTAAAAGTAATAATAGGGAGATTTTACTTGCACATTATCCGAATAACGAATGTCCGATAGTGCAAAAAAGTCCTGGAATGGTGGCTGAGGACCAATCTGCGAAACGTTAGACGGCCTCCCACGTGTCTGTGATATTAGCAGAGCACGTACCAGGAGAGTTCTAGTAGCACATACAATAGTTCTATAGTTCCTGATAGTTGTATGAAAGAGTTCTTATTTTGGTTCTAGACTAGAAAAATGCTCATTTATTCGTTTTCTCTCACTCTTCTTATTTTTTTTTTATAATTAAACCTTTTTATTTTTTAATGAGTTGTTTTAATGAGACCTTATTTATCGAAATCAATATGAGGAACTATATAACTATTGTTTGTGGTACTAGAACTATAATTTTTTGTGCTCTGCTGCTAAGTGCTCTACTAACTTCACAAACACTCCTCCCACTAGGTGGAAAGATGACCTGGTGAGGGTGGAGGGCAGGTCTTGGATGCAAAGGGTGGGGAACCGGTCGTACTGGTATTTTAGGGGAGAGGCCTATGTCCAGGTGTGGACGTGGCTGAAACGAACGAAAATCAAGTATCAACTATGGGATTCAAAACATGCTCAAACCGGTTTGAACTTTTGATTAGTGAGAATATACAATCACAGACATTCATTATTATTCTCCAATCTTTGTAGTATATTTCCCAGGAGTGTTCTGATTTATATTACTCAAATAAAGCAATTGTTCATATTATCATTGATATATAATACTGGAATTGATATTAATTATATACTATTTTCTATATTGAATTATATATTTTAAAGAGGTATGTAAGTTTGTTAATAAACTCAAAAACTACTGGTTTACAAAAATTCTTTCACCATTAGAATTACAAATTATAAAAAAACAGCCATGCAAAAAATAGTAAAGCCCAGCCAGCGTGAAAGGATTTAAAAATTTAATATATAGAAGTAGTTTCTATCATGAATATATTTGTTTACATTCCTATCATATAGTATATATCGAACTAAAATAAATTAAAAACAAAATAAATCGGATTTTTAATTAAGACTATATATATATTATAAAGAGATATGATCTGTTGAATAACAACCTCATTAATCTACTAACTTCTAGAGGAATTATATGTATATCTAGTTATATCTATGATTTATAGATCTATTCAAAGCACGATTCAATTCCTTGTCTAATTAGCATACCTTTAAAAAGAAACGCCTAATGAATTTTCAATAGCAATTACGTAAACTAGGAAATGAAAGTCTAGGACTGTATAATTGTTGTCTTCCGTTTGAAGATTCTCTTAAGTTTCAACACTAAATGATGACATATTTGAATAATTTGTAAATTTTTAGTAATAAATTTTTCCAACGAGAGTGTTGTGGGCTCTGGTGTAATTAAAAAAACGTGTGTGTACTTATGTACACGCGTTAGAAGTTAATCTTTTCAACAATTTTATTCTACGTTTGTAGAAAAAACGACACGAACAATAGCACAAAAAAAGGTTTTAAATGCAATGAAAGTTTTATTTTAACGTATTATCTAGTTAAATAAACTTTATTTAAATATCACAAACAAATTATTTCTACATAATTAAAACATTTTTTATTTTAGTATGCAACTTATACATTTTGATATTTACTATTTAATTCACGTAATTGGTTGGCGTTCAGTAGACATGTGAGTTACAAGAGACTAATGATAGCTAAAGTATGATATAAATATTCTTATAGAAACATGGTCTAAATATCGTACAAATACAGCATCATTTATTTATAAAAAAATGTTGACTATAGCTTCAACTTCAGTGTGTCGGATTTTGGTGATGGTGTGCGCGCGCATCGTAAAAATTTACTCTCATCATTTTTCCCTAACGCGCCAAAAGAAGTATAACTTCAAAAACCTGTTCTAAAATAATCTCTAATATCTCCTGTCTGAGGCACATAGTATTTCAAACACAATGGCGTATTTATTGGCCTAACTCAGGATTTGAACTCGACGCCTCACAATATACAAGCTATCCACGCAGAACGAGAACAAAAACAAAAACAAATCAAACAAGTGGTGCTACAACCTTTTTAGGTCTGTGCCTCACTTCTGTATCTGTATCTGTTTTATGATCATTTGTCATTCTCAAGTAAGTGATTAGCCTATTGTGCCTGATACACATCGTCGACTTTTTGTGTCTAACGCCAACAGGTTTCGTCGCGATGTCTTCCTTCACCTTTCGAGCGCGTAATTGAGCACATAGACAAACCCCCCATTCATGCACAGCCGGGGTTCGAACCTACGACCTCAAAGATGATGGTCACACGCTGAAGCCAAGGCCACTCGCTGCTCGCTGAATGAGAACAGTGGTTGTTAATATTGTCGATACTTTCATTTTTCCAGACAGTACAGCAGGCGAAGAGATGCATGACTTTCTGCGTGAGATTGCGATGTTAAAGCACGTTGGTTCCCACAAACATGTTATCCGTCTAGTGGCTTGTTGTACAAGACGACCGCCGCTGATTGCGCTCTTGGAACATGCACCTAGGGGAGACCTTTTGACTCTGCTAAGAGCTGCTAGAGGAAAGAGAAACATAATGAAGGAAGTAGATGTATCCAGTCGTAATGAACGACCATCTGAGGCGGATAGTAAGTACATTACAACTACTATAGAAGAAATATTTTTAATGAAAGTGACACTAAAATAGATGTTAATTGGAAATTCCATCCCACAATTCTTCCTTCATAGGCAATTATTTTAGGATATCCGCTATTAAGTTGTGGAATAGGCTGCCCGACTCCATACGATTGGCTAGCTCTCTATCATCTTTTAAAACTCTTCTGTATAAACAATTCTTAACCTTATCCTATACTGATCAATCGTGACTTGTGTAATTCTTGTGTTTCCTTTTCTTTTGGAAAACACATCGCTATTCGCTGTTCATGAATCTCTACGATTAGCTTTTCGGTTTTCAGTTTGTTATTAATATTTTTTTATGTATCACTTTAGATTAAGGTTCTATATTTTTTTATATAACATTTGGTTCTGCACTTCTTGCACTCATCATGTTTATTTTTTTAGTTTTTCTCTTACTAGGGTTGCCTGGAAGAGATCGCTTATTAGCGATAAGGCCGCCCGTTGCATCCCTTATAATTTTTATGTATTGTGTTATTTGTGTTTCTTTTATTTTTATTGCAACGAAGTATGAAAAAATAAATAAATAGATAAAATCTGCTGCTAGAATCAGTGGGATGGAGATTGGAGTTACAAACTAAATCTTGTTAGTGATTGTTTCGGGTTGGTACAGACATACCTTAAACATAATTGATAAGTCAATCACGATACACAATAGGTTAAGGAAAATAAAACTTAAAACCATGGAATAAAATAGATATTGAGAATTTCATGTTTCATGTTAGTTAATTTTTCGGGCTAGAAATTCTAGCGCCTGTTCATAATTGGTAGGCAAAACGTCGGTGTTTCGTATTTATAGCTTTTTTGTTAAAGGAACATAAAATTAATGTATAATTTGTCCTGCCTACCATGACTAAGTATTTATTTGTAAACACCTTATTTATTTGATAAATACACCTTATTACGTGGGAATACGGACGCCATTAGAATTTATAAGAACTTTAAGTAAAAATGAAACATGACAGTGATTATAATATAGGTTCAGCTAGGTTGCAGTAACTTCAGTATCGCCTGAATAAATTTTCAGTTTTTCTACCACCCAATACAAATTGCAACGTTGTCGTAAAATTAGGTCATTTGAGGTTCTATGAGGGTGTGACAAAGCCAAGCAATTAACTAATGATTCATTGTAATTGCTTTGGCAATTAGGAAAGCTAAGCTTACGCTTGCTACTTTGAAGATCAGGTAATTACCATAAATATACAGTACATATTCCTAACTCAAATCCGGCAACGCACCCACTATAAATAGGTGTCTATGGGCTGCGATGACTGCTCTTTTTGCCCCCCTATTATATTTAAAAAAAAATTGGGGATGGTGGGGTACAATAAATTAGAAACAAGGTGGTAGAACCAGTCTGTTGCACAGATCCCCTTTAACAGAAACGTTGCGCCTACTGGATGCTCTGACGCAATCGACACCTAGTTCGCAGAGTGAGTTCACAGTAGCGATCTTATGTATTTAATATTAAATTGTATTGGTTTAGTACTTAGATAGTGTATGTATTCTTAGTAAATGAATAAATACATTTTACAGCTGAATACACTAACATAAGCGATTCGGATCCGCCGATAGAAGAGCCTGGATATTCTAAATTGTACATTGACTCGGACCAGGAGACCAACAAACACCAGTACGTAGCAGAACCAGCATTACATCTTGACAGCTCTACCATGAGAGATTATGCTTTGCAAGTAGCTTTAGGTATGCAGCACTTGGAAGCAAGAGGAATTACCCATCGGTAAGTGAATATCCAATGCTAATTCTAGATTTTGCGTGTACCCCTGTACCTTTGGAGTTATCCGCTACTTTGATGAAGGAAAACATTATACAGAAACCTGCATGTCCAGATCATCTTCTTGCCGAAAAAATAATGAAACGGACACAGAATTATATATAAATGTTTATTATGAAATATAAGATACAGAAAATATATCACTCATTCCACGTCATTAAATTTGTCTCGGTAGACATCCCTACTCATCGGCAAAGAAGAGAGACGGTGTAGGCAGAGGCAAAAAGCCAGCGTTAAAACTCTCGGTACTCTTTTAAAATATCATCATACAAAATGACTATGGCAAATATAGATAGAGGAAACCAGAAGAAAAGGGACACGGTATATATCCCGTTAGGGTTACGGGACTTTTAACTAGGGGTTAGAAAGAAAGTAAGTCATTCATTCATGAGCGTAACCGTTTTGATGATTAGTTAATCTGTATTAAAGTACTATTAGTTAATAGTTAAATAATAAAAGTATGTTATTATTTCATTATCTTCGTAGATATATTATTCACGTTTCCTCTATAATACCCCGGAAACCCACAATACGATTTTTAAACACTCACGTTTCTAGACTATAATGTTCAAGATCTGTAAAGAGCAGTACATTACCAAAGACAATAGAATAAATGTTCATTGACCTACAAATTTTTTAAAAACATTAATTAAAAGAGGTTTAGGGGTTTTTTTTGTTTGGTTGGGGTTTTTTTTTTTTTTTTTTTTTTTGGGGGAATTTTTAATTTACTTTTCAATTTGTTTCGCATTACCGTAACGGCCTATGGTCTCTTATAATTGATTTTCAACAAGTCTAAAGCACGAATTATTCTTATGTTCTTGGCGTTTTTAATGCACAAATGAAAAAAAAAAAAAAAAAAAAAAGAGGTTTTATTTTTCAATGTTTCCATTACGCCTATGGTCTCTTATAATTATTTTCAACATCTAAAGATTTGTTATGTTTTTGGCGTTTTTAAGCACAAAAGGGGTTAGGACATGATGACATATTTTTCCAAAATTAAATGTTCATATTTTCGCTTCAGGGACTTAGCTGCTAGAAACATTCTAGTGGATGGCGCTGGTGTCCTCAAAGTGGCAGACTTTGGTCTCTCCAGGTCTGGGATCTACGTTCATACAAGATCTCGACCGGTGCCGTTGCGCTGGTTGGCTCCAGAAGCAATTTTCTCATCGCAATACAGTAGTGCCACCGACGTCTGGGCATTCGCAGTTTTGCTGTGGGAAATTGCTACTTTCGGTGAGTAAATAGATACCAAGAAGAAATCTAAATGATTCTTTTTGATCTGAAAAGCTCAGTTTCATCAAAATCGGAGCGGATATTATAACCAATATGCGAAAATAATAAATTTTACCTATATATATATTTTTAGTATATAAAGTTTTTTTCTTTTTTGTCTTGCTTAATATAATATTGCAAAATAACACTAAAACCCCACTAAGGGGTATAACCTTGGTGCCACAATACAAATTTTTAATTCCTTATAAACTAAAAAGTAAAAAAATACAATCAATGAAAACATTACGACAAACAGAGAGATAAAAAACCTTTTTATACCTTCATATTATATCTATCTTATCTATATGAGGTAGACCGTTCTACGTGTACATTCTTTATATGCTGAATATTATCACGCAAAAGATTTTGGATACTATGTAAAAATATGTGCATAGATATCCAAACCAGAGTACATGAATGCATTCGACTCAACCTCCGTGTCATCAAGACACGGCTATCTATCATAGTTCTATCTGCACTTGATTATACTCGAGCCAACATTAAGAAACCAGCATGTTTGAGACCCAAAGGCGTGTGTCAAAAAGAATGATCAGCCTTTACATGAGGAAGATTTACCCATAACTGATGCAACCCGATGCAAAGTCCCATGGGTTGTAGCGCCACTGAATCATTTTTCATTTTGTACTACTTCTACAATATGTCTTCAATATTCTAAAGAGTACCGATTCTTAAAAGGCCGGCAATGCACTCGCGAGCCCTCTGTCATTTAAAAATATATTTTAATTTCAGGTGGATTTCCATACGCCGAACTGAGCAACCAAGAGTTACCAGAATTTCTGACTAGAGGTGGTCGTCTTTCAAAGCCTGCTAGAGCCTCGCTACGTCTGTACCAGCTAATGGAGGAATGCTGGTCGAACGACCCAAGCTTTCGACCCACGTTTACCCAAATCGTGAACAGACTTACAGTCCAAAATCAATTGTATGTGGATTTAGATTGTGTTTTTCCGCCATTCGAAGATATGGATCTTAAAGATGCTTTTCAACCTGAAGACTGAATAGTTTTATTTATTAAATGTTGTAAGTTAATGTGCATTTTTATTGTTTACAAAAAAATGTTTCTACCAAAATGTTCTGAAGAACGCGTTTTAGTGAAAGCTCACCGATGCACCATGCCTCCTGCTGATAGGACAAATCTTTGTTTTTAATTTGTTTTATTATTATTTATTACTTGAGATGTCATGTGGAACATAGTGTAATGGTTGCAGCTCCTTACAAACGTTGTGTAAATCATAAAACTTGGCGATTAAAAAGAGTGGCGGAGAGTTTATTGCCCGTTCTTCTCTTCCGTTCTACGCCCTTGATTTAGCGTATACATACGTATACATAACTACATAACTGGCAGTTAATGTAAAATTAGAAGCATAGTGTACATTGTGTTATGTAGGTAACACACTGTACACTTATGAACGATTGAATGAATAAATGATTTTCCAGATTGAGCATTCTGATAAACGAGCTAGGTTTTAGGAATGCGGATTGTCTAGGATATGCACGACTAAATCAATTTTGCTCATCAGTTTAGGTATTTTGGTAATTTTAATTGATCTTTGCGATCCATTCGCAACGCGTTTATATTTCTTTTTTTTTTTTTTTTCGTCTTCCTTTTTTTTTTTTGATGTTTTTTTTTTTTTTTTTCCCTCCCTTCTCTCTTTTGTTTAATATTTGTACAATATCTCTTCTTGATAAATTGCTCAATAACTATAAAGGGCTTATCACATGAAATAAAATTTGTCGTCCCTTCCTTTTCCCTGTTTAAATCAACGATTGTTCAGGTTCCTTTGCCAAACCAATGTATCAGGTTGGATAGCATTGGCAAGATTTCATCAAATTGAACACAGCTTCAGAGGGACATTCAAGTTTTTTTTAAATCAATGAGGGTCCTTCACTAATTTGACAGTTATGACCTGCTCTAGTGCCCCAAACTTCATCCTATTGCCTGATATTTACTATCATATCCTGATTAAATTTTTATATTGTTATTGTACTTTTAAGATTTTATTCAAATTTTGTAAGTTCTTTTAAGTAATTAATATATATTTTGCTATCCCTTTCTCTTCGTATTTAACAGATTCTGTTTAATATTTGCAACATACTGTTAGACAGATGAAGCATATATACAAGTTTACTTGACTATATATCAATATATAGTGTTGGCCTAGTGGCTTCAGCGACATGTAAATAAAGTCTTGTCATCCCTGAGGTCGTAGGTTTGAACCCTGGCTGTGCATCAATTGCCTTTCTGTCTGCGCATTCGCTCGAACGGTGAAGGAAAACATCGTGAGTAAACTGACATTTCATAGGAAAGTCAAAAAAGTCGACGGCGTGTGTGATGTGATCATGAAACAGATACACAAATCTGAGGCCCAGACCTAAAAGGTAGCGCACTGGTTTTTATTATATATATATATATATATATCTAATATATAATATATATCTAATATATTTTTTTATTTTTTTGACAAAAAAATACATAAAATCCCTAATTTTCGCCCTTCTACGAATAACCTCTATTTTTTATTACTGTAGATAATTATTTTTATTGAACTTAAAAAAATGTTTCCTAGAAATAATATAGGTACATGGCAAAACAAACGTTTGCCGGGTCAGCTAGTAGGTATGTATATACATATATGTGTATATTTTGTTATAATGTAAAGTCAAGTAGTCAATCTTTTTATTTCAATACAAATACTGAAAACTTTTAAAATTGAAATAGCAATAAAAGTGACGCTCAATTAAAACCACGATATTGTTTAAGAAATTTCTTCATTATTCCGAGAACAATGAATGACTTTAAAACATGAGTGTTCTTAAACTAAATATTCGTGAACAAACAAAGTATGTATTAATTTATTTTATTCAAACACAGATGATACCATATTTGCAAACATACTTGCATTAGTTTCATCATCGGGCGGCGTATCAGAATACGAAATAGACCGGGAGATAGTGCCAAAAAATATTAGGTCATTTGTACCAGTATGGCTTGAATTGTTGTGGAACAAATTGACACTCGATTAACTACGAGTGTCAAACGATTTTCAACGAGTTCGACTAACCACGCGATTGGGCCGTTGGTACCAGCCCTATGACAATCATTTATCTTTTTTTCATTGCGTAATAAGACCCCTGAAGAACCCGCCATACTGGTACAAATGACCCAATATTTTCTGGCACTATCTGCCGGTCTAAAATTCCAGACGTATCTCGTAGTTCCACAACTGAGCGTTTATAAGGCAGTTATTGCCGCGCACCACTACTATTTGGAACCTGCCTTTACCTGCCTAAAGTATTTCCCAACCAATTCGCTTAGGGTCCTTCTAGAAAAGAGCATACTAATTCTTAAAAGGCCCGCAACGCCTTCTGGCATTGTGAGTGTCCATGGGCGGTATCACTTAACATCAGATGAGCCTCCTGGCCGTTTGCCCCCTGTTTGTACAGCATTTTATTTCTAAAGATATTCTAACATAATCGATCATAATGTATTTTTGCAGTGTGCACACTTAGAGTAGCAGCTTCATTTTTTATATTATTCACAATTAAAGCGGTTTCAACAAAATGGCCGGATCCAGACGACGACAAGTTGATATTCATTGCGAATCCGGTAGAAGCTGATATGCCGGGACATTGGATGCCTTTAAGTGTTATGAAAATCATACTTGGAGGCTCCACAAAAATGCCCTTAACTACAACGAGGAAACAGCTTAAATTGAAATTAAAAATAACCACTAGAAGTACGACCACTAGCACTGAAGCGCCTACAACTACGACGGAAGCTTGCACTACAACTACTACAATCCCTACCACTTCCACCACTCCTACATCCACAACTACTCCCACAACTACAACCACTCCGACAACTACAACTACTCGCACAACTACAACCACTCCGACAACTACAACTACTCCCACAACTACAACCACTCCAACAACTACAACTACTCCCACGACTACAACCACTCCAACAACTACCACTACTCCCACGACTACAACCACTCCAACAACTACAACTACTCCCACGACTACAACCACTCCGACAACCACAACTACTCCAACAACTACAACTACTCCCACAACTACAACCACTCCGACAACTACAACTACTCCCACGACTACAACCACTCCGACAACTACAACTACTCCCACAACTACAACTACTCCCACAACTACAACCACCCCGACAACCACAACTACGACCACAACTACAACTACGACAACAACGACGACCACCACAACAACGAAGCCGCCACGGAAAACACCACCACGAAGAATTAAACCTGCTACTGATGCACACGAGAATTTGAATGCGTAAAATCACAGTTTTGCCTGGATGAGATTGCTTAGCAGCGACAAGGCCGCCAGTTGCAATCATTTAAATATAATTATGTAACTAGATATAATACTTCTACTCTACTATATTTTACTAGAGCACGTCAGATATTTTTGTTGTTATACTGATATGAATTGTGAATATGAGAAAAGGGTTTTCTTTTTTAATAAATAGAATGAAAAATAACAGTATCAGCGGGTAAAGTACCAAAATCTTCTAATAAAAGTTAATAATATTATATCGTAACACATACGGAGGTTGATTTTTGTTATAATGATCAGTTTATAGCTTATATTTTTGTTATTTTATTATGAATAATTTATAATTAATTAATTGCATCACATTACTATTTGATCATAAATCAAGTACAAGCTTATTACACTTAAAATTTATTTTAAAAAACAGATTTAAAAATCGGCAGGCAATTTGAAGTTTATAACCATTCAATGGATATCAGCGCCATCTATATTTTAGAATCTAAAGCGCATAGACACGCATTAACTAGTATGAACAGTATACATATTGCTTTTTGGGTTATTCAATTTATAGTCCATATGTTAGGCAAAAGATGGCGCTTTTCTAAAGATAATGAACATGAAGCTTTATTATACCGTAGTTTTCAGAAATAAAAATAAGTCACATATATACTCTTTTTTGAAATAGTTATATTTTATTCTCTTCCAAATTACCGCGAAATTGAACGTCATTCGATATCTCAACGCCCAGTATTCTGATGCTGGCTGTGGCTTTAAGGAGAGTGTCTTCGAAGAGAGGAGTAGCGACAAAGGCTGTTCTTTATTTTTAGCCAATCTCCCGTGAAGTTAACGAACGTATTTTTAAGGTTTGAATCGACAATATTCGTATAATGGCGTGCTTATAATATTTAAAAAATGCATAATGTCAGTAATGAAAAAGGATTGACATATTGGTTGTCAAATATTCATGCGTACGTTCAGAAATTTATTTTCTGTAGACGATGGAAAATATACAACATTTATTATTTCTTTTTGTGTTATTATTTCAATAAACTATTTGTCAAGGTAATTACAGATAAGTAATTTAGTTTGTTATTTGTGGTGTTTTTTTTTCATCTCTGTTTTCTATTGGAGGGTGAAACCTAAGATCACCGATACGCACATGCCTTACAGCTGAAATGGAAATGGGTAGACGGATAAAAGATGGACCGCCGAAGTCACTTGCTGGTCCAGAAAAAAGAAACGTGGGAAGACCACAAAAGCGATGTGCTGACGACATAGTAATGGTTTCTGGGTATAAATGGACGGAGGAAGCAAAGAACAGATACAAATGGAAAATTCCAAAAATCCAAAAGGAGGAGGCCTATACCCCAAAGGGGTCCGTACAGCAGAACTCGAACGGAAATAACAGTCACTAAAATCATAAATTAAATTCAGCTAATTAACACTACATCTGTTAGGCGGGACGAAGTATTTCCGAACCAATTCAACTTAGGGTCCTTCAAGAAAAGAGCGTACCAATTCTTAAAAGGCAGGCAACGCACCAGCCTTCTGGCAATGTGTCCATATATCACTTAACATCAGTCTCCTGCCTATGAATTATTATGAATATGAATCGACCGAACTTTTTTTTTAAATCCGAGTTTTTGTGAGAGGCCTATGTCCCGTAGTGGAAGGCTGTTTCCTTACA